GCCCCGCTAGTTACCCCGCGGCTGGGACCGGGCCCCCTTACCCCACCGCTTCCCCCTCCCCAGACTGCCACCCCCCCTGCCTCCGTCCCTCCCCAGCCTGCGCTCACCACCCTGACTTTCCTGGGGGCAACCTGCCCCCCTCCGCGTACCCCGCTTGCCTTGCCGGACCCTGCGCCGGCTGTAACCAGGGCCCCCCCAGCGGTAACTCTCTGGGGGGGGCAGAAGACAGAGGGGACCTCTCTCCGGACGGACGCGGTGACGCCAAAACTTTTGAGTGGATGAGAATCAAAAGGAATCTTCCCAGAACAGGTGAGTCCGCGGGACAGGCCCGGGGGGGGGGAGGGGGGAGTCCAAGGAACTTCGGCAGGGAATACCAGACCAAGGGGCGCTTTGCGGGGAATCAAGTCTGCTTGTCTCTCTAGCGTGCCGTGGGGGTGATTTCTTTTAAATCTCCAAACTGCCTTTCCTCTCCCCTCTGGTCCGGACCTTTCCGAACTTGCCTCGCTCCATTCGCATCCTCTTGGGTCTAGAACGATTTTCTTTCTGCAACTCAAGAAGAAAATGGATTTTCCAAACTCAAGAGGAAAATACATGTTGTAGGTATTCTATATCTAAAACCACCAATGGAAAGGAAACTGAATTGGCTGTCTACCCTTGGCCGCAAGGTTCCCAAAATAAGGGTTCGATCTTGTGATCTTAAAGATGCGTTAGGTCGGTAATAGAATAGATGTAGCCCGAAATACACATTGAAGAAGGGGCGTTGGAATCTGTGGTTTTGAACTGGGATTTTCCCCCTGGAACAAGGAAACGGGGTGTTTTTCTGGGGGCGGGAGGGTTGTTCAATATTTCAAAAGGAAATTTACAGGCATCTGATTTCTCTCGTTGGAATAGAGGCTCGACCACCTGCAAAAGTAACGTCGCCCAAAATAAGAGAGACGCCACGGCGCCCTACTTTTGCATATTTGCAGCAGGTTGCTAATGAATAAGTCCCAGATTTAGTTGTGCGCGCGGGCAGGTTAGCTTGGGAGTGATTCTGCACAGCGTGTTTACCGGGCCGGCGCTCGGAGTTTACCTCATCTAAAGGGCCGCAGTTCCAGCCCTGTCGATTCCTCCCCAGAGGAAAGTCCATTTATTACCTTTTCCAGGCAGACACACGGACAAACTTTCTCCAGATATTAACCCTTGTGAAGAAACCGTTTTCTGAACTCCTCGATTAAATCCGCGCCTTAATCGATCATTAAAAGTTGTTTCCTTCCCACCGTATCTGACTCCCTGCATCGTAATATCTTCAAGGCGATTTAACCCTGACATCTTGCTAAATATTGAGGGATCTTAAAAAAAAAACCCTTTATTTAAAATTCCCATAGTAGAACCATCGATGCAAACAGAGTTAGCCTTTGCTTCAGACGTTTTCCTGGAAAGTTTATCCCAAGCTTTTCAAATGTCTGGGGGAGGTTGTGTTTTTAAGGACAACTGTTAAAGGATCTCTCACTGGATGTGAAATAAGATTGTATTTTCTCAAGAGGGAGGGGTGGGAAATGCAAATCCCCCCCCCCCCCCCCGGGAAGCGATGCTTTTAAAGGAAAATCCGTGGGAAAAAACGGAGTTTTAATTTTTTTTTTAAATCGAACCCACTCCACTGCGCCCGAAGGTTTTCCTCTGCTGCTTGGGTGGAAAGTGGTTTCGACGGCAGGAGACAGGATCGAGTCCCGCTTCCTCCCGCTTTGCAAACAGTTTCCCGATTGCTGTTTCACCTCTCGTTCCTAACTTCGCTGGGGTGGGCCGGCGGCTGTCCCCTTCCGTTCAGTTTTCTCTTGTGTGGCTCTCCACCGCCTCCAGCTCCTCCCAGCCAAGGGGAAACAGTTCTTCAAATACCCAGAAAGCAGCCGCGCGAAGGGGATATATTTTCAAAGTCCAACTACAAGTTTTCTCTTTGCCCCCTGCCTTATCTCGCTGGCTCGCCCCCAAGAAGCTAAGGAGGCGAGTCGGTCCCCGCCACTCAGCGAGAGCAAAACTAGACCCAAACGGGAAAAGTTCTTTGTATTTCGCTGATACCGGGCAGCTCTCTCAGTCGGAGCGCAGGGGCGGACTGGATCCTTTGGCGAGCGAAGGGGGGAAGCAAAGAAGAATCTATTGGTGTCCGACGGGTTCAGAGGGTTTCCCGTGCGTGGGAAAGGATTTTTAAAACTACGCACGTGTTGGAGCCAGGTGGATGTAAGAAGTGTGGGAGAGAAGGGGACCGTGGGGCAGACAGAAGGAGACACGCGGGAATGGACCGAGATAGACAAGAGAGGCAGGGAAGTTTGATGTGTGATGTAAACATTCAGAGTCTGCTGGCATTTAATCGCAAGACCGTAGACAGACTGAACTGTGTGTGTGTGTGTGAGGGGGGGGGGGGGTAA